ACGGGCGAGGAAGCGTTGGGCAGCAGTACTGCTCACCGTACACCCTTCATAAGCCTGAAAAATTAGCAAAGGCCTTTTGGTGTACATGCAGTCGGAATTAAAAACGGCATCTGACCCACATCGCCATCCCATCCAGTGCTTTGCAGTCACTGGATTTGTTCCCAAGCAACAAGACATGCACATCGAACACTGAGGATGCGAACTTACCCGGAGACTGAGCACGCGCCCCCTGACCAGCGGACCCCATCCGGGCACCAGTCCCTGACCAGTGAACCCCATCCGAGCACCGCTCTCTGTTCGCCAGCGGATCCCCCCCTGCCCGCCAGCGGACCTCTCCCTGTTCGTCAGCGGACCCCTCCTTGCCCGCCAGCAGACCCCTTCCTGCCCGCCAGCGGACCCCTCCCTGTCCGCCAGCGGACTCTTCCCTGCCTGCCAGCGGACCCCTCCCTGCTCGCCAACAGACCCTCCCTGGCCGCCAGCGGACCCTCACCCACCTGTGATCTCCGTCTTCTTGGGCTTCATCAGCTGACCCATCATGGAGAGGATGTCCTGGCCGCCCTGCGGCCGCGCGTTGGCCACGTCCAGGTCGTGCAGCGTCACGTCCTGGATCACCTCCTTCTTCTTGTGCACGTCCCCCTTGGGCAGCGGCACGTACTCCTCGGCCTGCGGGGCCACATCGGTCGTTACCAGCTTGTTCCCCGAGTCACTGCTCACGCCAGAGCGGGCGCCACGGACACGGGCTGCAGCCAGACCCTTCATAACCTCGGCAGGGCGCGCTCATCATCTTGATCCAACACGATTTCAGTGGAAATAATTGACTAACTCTCGCCTGTTGTTAATTGGTTACAAGGAATCGAACACATCGACATCGTAACATATCGCGCATCACTCGTGCTTGTGTGGTAATTGTTATATATATATATATATATATATATATATATATATACGTGTGTGTGTGTGTGTGTGTGTGTGTGTGTGTGTGTGTGTGTGTGTGTGTGTGTGTGCGTGCGTGCGTGCGTGCGTGCGTGCGTGCGTGCGTGCGTGCGTGCGTGCGTGCGTGCGTGCGTGCGTGCGTGCGTGCGTGCGTGCGTGCGTGCGTGTGATATCACATAGCATACGCTATATTTTGTGCAGAAGAGGCAATGGGTTGCATACTTTGTCACGAAATAATGCTAGCACACAGCAGGGCCTTGAAATGCCTGCAGAAACGGAGTCGAGCACGAGCTGACAACAAACACAGACCAAAACCCATATAACCACCATGCTGACAGAAAGCAATCAGACAAGCCAGCCGCACAGCAGCAGGCCCGGCTGGCGGCCACCGTTCACACGGCACGCTCGCCCCCGCCGACGGCCGTACCCACCTCCAGGTCGTACTCGGTGGCGAACGTGTCGCTGCGGCCCTGCCGCTTCACCGAGCCGCTGTTGGCCTCGATGTAGATGACGTCGCCCACCTCCACCTTCTCCTTCTGCAGCGACTCGTAGATGGACGGGTCCAGCTTCAGCTGTTTGGTGCCCTTGGCCGTCTTCAGTCCGATCACCACCGAGCTGATGGTCTTGCCGTAGCCTAAAGCAGGGGATTCAGGTCCATTACTGTGACCCGGGACGCAAAGCTTGACATGACCCGCGGTATATCGACCACAGGCAGGCACCACACAGTTCATGATGGACATAGAAGGCTATGGCCCACCGTGGCCCAGACAGACCCGACAGTGACCGCCAGCCAGACTGACCTCCCATCGGGTTTTCGGTCTCCTGCGGCGAGAGTTCGGTGACCTCGCCCTCGTACACCTCCTTCATCTCCTTGATGCGCAGCCCGATGGCGCGCCGGAAGTTCTCCATCAGCACCTCGGTCTTCTTGATCTCCGAGCTGAAGACCTCCGAGCCGACCATCGGGCAGAACGGCACCTGGCGCACGGGCGCCGCCGCATGAGACGGGCGGCACGGTACGCGGGTCGGCACAGTGCAGGGATCAGCACAAGCCGGTCGGGCGCGCGCGGACCAGCAAGGACAGCACAGGGTACACAGACCCACTAGCCTCAGTCTGATGAGTGGAGGGCCGCACGGTCACATTTGGCCTGTAACCGGCCTCCCGTTCACGACCCCGACGCTCACAGGTGATCACAGGTGACACCCGACGCACACAAAAGACTGCACGGCGGATGAGCCAAAATGGAAGAGTGTCAATGAGACAGGAAGATGGCCACAAGACTGGCAGTGTAGGTGTCTAGAGCTCACACACCTGCACCCCTAATGCATTTCTAAAAGAGCATGGGCGGCGGATAACGCAACACTCGGGTCATCACCTATCAGCGCACGTGACGTGTGCGAGTCGTGGCGTCTGATCACTATGCCTCACGGTGTGTCTGGATGAGTAGTAGACACTGTCCATTGTCTAAAGATACTGTCTTCTTCTCATGCAGATGCTCACATGCACTTTGATTATAACATCCAGGATGGCTGTGGGGGCATATGCCATTACTTTCTAAAGCTCAATCCCATCATCCCACCCTGGAGCCAGTGCGTGGAGGCGGCCTGTGGCCTCAGTGCAGCGAGCTCCTGGGTGCCCAGCGTACCTTAGAGCCCAGCTCCTGGGAGACAGCCAGGGCCACAGCTGTCTTGCCAGTGCCAGGTGGCCCGACCAGCAGGATTCCGCGGCCCGCCATCCGCTTTGACTTGATCAAGTCCACAATGATGCCACATGCCTGAACATGGCAATGACACCATTAGGGCGGTGGCCACGGTAGCCACAATATCAAAACACCTGCAGATATGCTACCCTTACATTGGACATCAGTTCATGAACTACAGCCAAATTGTTCAACAATGCATGAGAACAGTACACAAGCCCATGACTGACTTCCAACATTGTTCACCTGGTCACAATGCAAGTTATGCCCAACTAGTACATGTGGTTTGCATGCAAAATGTGTCAACCACCAGTGAAGAAGTACACAAAAGCATAGCATATCCTGATCCTGGTGTCCTAGTGTTCCAAGCTGCAACATTCAATGTCAACCAGTGTGGTTCACAGTGCTGTAATTACATGATCACAGTTGATCACACTGACCTCCCGAGCCTCCTCCTGGCCCACCAGACCAGCTGCACAGGTCACTGCCTTGCCAGTTTCATTCAGCCCCAGCCCCTTGACATGGCTGTGACTCGACACACGCTGTGCTTTGGTAGTGCTCTTCACTTCCTCAATCTTCATCTTGAGCTGCAGGAAAATGCACTGATGTAAGAGTGCAAAATTATAAATCCTTTTCATATTTATTTTGATTATTACTTTTGATATTTTCTTGCAGCTTTATAATGCCAACATTTCTCAGCATTCTCCCCAAGGCCCTGCCTAGTAATGAGTCCTGGTAAGCAGCAAAAGAAAATATCTAATGGGTCCGGGCTCAACACCATAAACCATTTGCATCCTAACCCCAGCACATGGGGATCAATTGAATTACAGCTTAAAAACTATAACAGCCACAGCTTCCTGTCATCTCATAGAACTATAATTTATTTATAACACACCCTTGAAATTGCTGTGAGTGGCTGTCAGGGAAGATTTGAAGAAATCCCTACAGACAGTGAACATAACAGGTCCTCCAAATTTGACCAAAAACTCTCTTTTCCAAATCTTTAGAAGCCACATGGATTATGGCTGAATGATTATTGATCAGACACCACTGTTCTCAAACTCTGGAATGGCAAAGATAACTCCAGATCAAATGTCTGACACAATAGTGTCTTGAGTACCTGTAAGGTTACCCTGACTTCAAAACCTAAAGCTAATGTCATCATTGACAGCATGTTCCAACTCCCCCCCCCCCCAGAACAAAATAAAACTAGGCATTACCTGCAGCATCTCAATCCAGCAAAACAGGCACCTAACCTTAGTCCTGATGTTCAGTAAACATTGTCACACAGCTGGCAAAATCAAAGACCAACACATTAACAGGCTATGGATTAGCTAAATTTGAGAATCAACAAAATCACATGCTTACAGGGTTGCACAACCTGCACAACAGTGAAAAAAATCCATCCACAGCACTGAAATCTCACACAACAGTGAGCTCACCCTAGTGATCACCAAACTCTGGCTGAGCCAAATTATGCATAACCTTAAAATCACTGTTACTTTTCATGCTAGCTGATATGACCTTCACATCATCATTTTGTGACTCATTGTCTCCATACATTAAGATTGGTGATGACAGCACACCAAACTCTAGAGCACTCAGATTCATGGTGTGGGTATGCTGAGATTACTGCCTCATTGTTGCTGCAATACTGGACATGTTCTGCATAACAACTGCTTTTTGCAGTACGATGTGCATATAGATCTAACACAACCCCATCAATCTTTTTGTCATTGACTCACGTGAAATTCAAATGCTATTTTAAACCAAATTGAACACTATGAAAAAACACAAAGAAAGAAACACGAAGTTTGTCAACAGACGCCGGGTCTCCGGTCCGGGTCCGGGTCTTGCACGCGGTTTTCGCTTTTAAGCAATCACAACACCTCCGCTGATCCGCACAAACCTTGGATTACCCGAATCGGCTCTCAACGCAGTCAAACAGTCTTATAACTTCGCTGATAGGCAGAACGGGTACCTATGTAACATACAATATTCTATATCATGAAACAACCCAGCCACAGAGCAAACACTCCCCAGCCACGAGGACCATGAAGCAATCGAACACACAACGCGGTCGAACAAGCTCGCCAGGCTTCTGTCTGACTTACCAAGATGTCCCACAAACTCGGAATTAGTATGAGGTAATCTGGAAATCTTAACTTTTAATTTAAGAGATTTTTCAACTAAATGCACTTAAATGAGTAAAAACACCTAATTTTATGATTTTTTTATTTATTTTTACTCAATTTAGGTACATGCTGACAATGAAAGGGCATTTTGATGCATGACGTCATAAACATATTACAAGAGAACACCTTCGTATGCTACAATAGCAACGCATCTGACTCATTTCTGACTAAAGGCGCATAATTTGTATGTGCATGATGCATATGTCTGAAAATGAAATGCGTCCGGTTAATCGACTGCGCTGATGGTATGTGCCTACACACGCCATCATTATGGGGATGAGGTGTGACTCGGCTGGTGTGTTATTTTTTGTTCAGATCACAGGTTTGAGAGGGAAAACCCCAAGGCATTTATGGCTGTGAATGCATTTCATACCTGCATGGCTTGCTCATGTACCGTAGGCTTGATGTCGGAAAGGTGTCTGTGTTATCATTTGTATGGCTTGACATTCTGCTAAGTGTTTATCTCTTTGATGATTATGTGTCTGTTTTTTTGGTACAAACCTATTTTAATATCACTGCAGCACTCAGCTGCATACAATCACACTGCAGGCTACAACACTGTTTAGAGTAAATTAATGACATTGATTTGCATGTATGTGATGCACATATTTGCATCTATGTTTAGAGATTTACCAATCTCTCTGTTTTCAACAAAGAAAGTTATTCAGATTCAGAATCTGATTCATCAATTTTTGCTCAAGCCCAAATTTGTTATTCAAATTACCTTAAATCAAGTTAATATGTTTGCCTTGGAGAACCAGGCCACTCAAAAGTAGCTTTATTTCTGCATGCTACACAGAGCTTGATAGTTCAGCCTTGGCTAATATCTTAGCAAGTTAACTGGTGAAATGTTGCATACCAGCATGACATATTAACATTAACTTATTCTTACTGCATGAAGGAATGAGCTCAAGATGAAGTTATGTCCCCCCTGACCATTCACAATCTCTGGATGGAGGTCATGTGTATCAGCAAATAAGTAGCTGTTATGCAGGTACTTTGAGGATTTGAGAAATAGTTGTTTGTAAAAACTAGTCCTAAAAACAACTGAAAACCTAAAACTAGAGAAACACTTAACCTGCAGCCTAATAGCAGTTCCACACAACTGCCATACAGGGTGGGGAGGGACAAATTGGTTCCCTCAGCTGTTAAAAAGTAAGGTGGAATGACAGTAAGAGGTAAAGCATGAGGTAGAACAAGCTGGAGGGGTGGGCTGATTGGTAAGCCTGGTGGGGTGAGTGCTAAGGCATGCAGTGTCGATATTTCGGTAAAGAAATTATGGCCATCAGCATATTATGACTTATGTCGATGGAGTGAACCAGCTAGTTCAGAATTGATGTACAATTTAAACAGTGATTGCGCAATATCTCTAGCACTTTTGACTGGTTTCCAACACTGAGAAAACCTGATGTCCAAAAGGAATGAAAGCAAACAACTAGGTCTGCCACCATCGACCTGCCACCTAATCAAGAGATTTGGTGGGCTTAGGAGGTGCCGACTGCTGATTGTGTTTTGAAAGAGCCACTGGTGGTGAGGACCTCAACAATGCAAGAGCCAATCTCCAAGTCTTTCAATACTCCGGCGAGCAAGAGAACACAGTCGGAGGTTGCGACCTCCGAATCAAGACAGCAACCCAAAAGGAGGAGATCCAGTGTCTGTAGTGCTCAGCTGATGGCTCAAGAAGAAAAACTGCAGAAATTGAAGCTTGTTAGCCACTACAGGAAGAATGTGAGTATGCTGTGATAGATTATTTAGGTTGGGAATTCATGTGATGCTGTGACATTTCTTAACATGTTCTATTTAAGGTGGTTTCAATGGGTTACAGCAGGCTCACATGATCAGTAAGTAAATAGTCTTAACGCTACAGGTTTTGTTGGTTTTCCACTGGAGGTAGCGTCACGATGTCAGCAACGATAACCATTTATTACTGGATCGATGCAGGCTAGCCCCAAGGTTGGGACTAGCCTGCATACATGATGCATGAACAAAGGGCCATCGCATGAAATGATCCACGATAGAGCATTATGAGACACCACCGCCAGGCCACGTATCCTCTGCACGTGACGATGGTGATGATTGGGGTTTAGGGGTGCGCAGACAACATGACCGCAGACGTCCGCGGTCATTTTGCGCCCAGTTTGTGCGTGCCAAGCGGCAGTCCTCGGCCGTTCCTGGGAGGATTGCTCGATACTAGAGAACTTGCCGTCCCAGAGAGATGCTCACATACAGAAGACACGACCTTTTAATCCTGAACACGTTCTCCTATACATCGCATCTAACAAAGCCTGGGCCTCAAAAGCAAATCATCACTAGACAGATGCGGGCCTCTCAATCACAGGTAGACTGCCAACAATTGTTCTCCATTAGCTATTCACAAGCATGACTAAGACTGGTGAACTCGAGGATCTCGGTGGAGCAATGCATAAGTTTCGTCACAAGATTCATCAACTGTGTGTGTGTGTGCCGTGCCTCGCCACATTCGCGCGCCCCTCTCAGTATGAGGCGCGACTTGGGCGGAAAGTTACACAGCACCCGCTCTGCGCACACGCCGATTCCGCTAACCGGGTCCGTTTGCCGGGGCCGACCTTCACCAGCCCCGACTCAGACCGCTCCCCTGAGCCGATCGTCAGCGTGTGGTGACCCCCCCCCCCCCCCCGACCCCGTGATAACCATCACAGTGCCGACGGCGGCTCGCTGAAGCTGGCCGGCTCGCTGCCGCCTAACCGGGTCGTCGCATCGCCCCGCAGCATAGCCTGCCGCAGCTGGAGCGGCTGACACAGTGCTGGACGAGGGCGGCCCAGCAGGCGCTGCGCGACCTACAGCAGCGGCTGCAGAGCCGTGAACAAGACGTCGCCATGGCGGATCTCCTGCGACACATGGGCGTCGACCCCAAGCTAGTCATGTATGATGCTGAGACGGACAGCTTCTCCGGAGCGGAAGAACAATAAACTGTGTGAACGGCTGTAATTCGTCCGGCAGGTGTCGATTCATCGCAAATGAGTGCCCCACAGAACGGAAAATTTGTTGAAGGTTTGTGTGGTAAGTTTCTTTTCTGTGGATGTATGGGCATTTTGTCCGCATCTAAAAGTAGCGATAGGAAAAGCTGTTTCCGCCCGGGCTCGAACCGGGGACCTTCCGCGTGTGAAGCGGACGTGATAACCACTACACTACGGAAACGATGAGGGTGTGGGCCGCTAACGGTGTACGTAATAATCGCGAAGTAGTATTGATGTATTGGTCATACCTTTCTACTGGGCAAGCCATATTTGTATGAATACATTTAACATGACGGAAGTCTTCTGCTATCGTTTTGATAGAGACATGTTGCCGAAATATCAACCCAACCATATCTCCATTCTCCCAGTTTTTTCTCCGAGGAATAAGGCTAATACTACTGTCTTACCTGGATATGTTCAACATTCACTCACAATTGATTAGTGATGCAAATTATGCAACGTAGTTTTGAACATGCACGCCTACATGTCTTACAACTCTTATATAATCTTATATATCTTATAACATATGAAAGAGCTCGATGCCAGGCGTTGCAGTCTCCTTGGGCCGCGCGGCGTGCACTAGCACTACAGCTACAGCACTTGCAGTTAACACTACTCGTGCTCAACAGGTGAACGGAAATGGTGACTTATCATAAAGGAATACCTTTGAGCGCTTTATGACACCACATCGTACATTTAGAGACATTCCGGGGTATATGTAACCTGTGCGGTTTTTAGATTGATGAAAATAACGTATTGGCCGTTACGGCACTGCCATGTGGTGCTGGAATCTGGTGGTGGAACTGGAGGAGTGAAGTAGGAGCCAGTCTTGACGTGGAAGACGTCAAGATTGATACTAACGCAGCCTTCTTCATCCGAGCTCGCCGCGTGCTGCATGCCACATGCGGACACCCGCCGTCATGCCTAGAAAAATCGTGATCGATAAGTTGTTCATTTATCGTAATGTCCATAACGGAGGGGTGAACAAATTACGTGCGCCCTAGGGGTCTGTTAAAACGGTGCTTTGGAGGCTTGTGATGCGCAACATGGACACCCAGCCGCAGTGTTACAGGAGACGAGGACGGCAGCCACACGCGGCGCAGGCTGCCCGACGCGTCATCCGTGGAATGTCGTCCGAGCGCCACGCACGAGGCCACCTGCCGCCGGAGAAGGCCGCACCACCGCACACCACTCGACCCACCCCGAAAGCAGCGCACACCGACCCAGCACGGCGCGCAGTAAACTCACCATCAAAATAAGTTATCACGCTCGGCGCCACACGGCCCATACAAAACTATAAGCACGCGGGAAGGGGCGGACGGGCGGAGCGCCGCGCCGAAACTGCCGAGCCGACGGCCGGCCGCTGCCAAGCGAAGGTCCGGCCAATGTCCAATCGCTGCCCGATCACTGCCCAGCGAGTGCCCGATCACTGCCCGGCCAGTGTGCCGACGCTGCCGGGCGCTGTCCTGTTGCTGCCCGGTCGCTATCTAGCCGCGGCAGGCGGCGCGCTCAGAAGGTTTTCCGGTGGACGGCGCGCTGGCCGTCCTCCTCGTACTCCTTTTTGCTGACCCACATCTTCTTGAACGTGTCGAGGGCGGCCAGGATGGAGCCGCCGATCCAGGTGGAGTAAAGCCGCTCTTTGGGCGCCGACACCTGTCGCCGCAGCAGACGCACAGCGGGAGTCAGGGACTCAGCGTCGGTACGCAAGACACCTGTTGTTGATTTGGGTCTTACCGCGCCACAGCTGCTTGGTTATCCGGCGTCCATGCAGAACACTAGCAGTCACTATTCAGCCACACAGAGCAGACACACAGCGGGTGGTAACAGGCCGGTCATTACCGGCACACAATACACCATAGTGGGTAGTCTGGGACCCAGTGTCAGAACGCAGCCTCGTCTCCACAGATATGTTTGTAAGCCGTGGACCAGCAAAGCTGTTCCATGCTGAAGTCAACCGATCGGCCATCGTATGAAGTGATCCGCGATAGAGCATAAGACAAAACCACCAGGCCACGTATCCTCTGCGAGTGACAATGGTGACGATTGGTGTTTAGAGGCGCGCAGACGTCGGCGGTCATTTTGCGCCCAGTTTGCGCGTGACGTTTGCTATTCAGCGCCAAGCGGCAGTCCTCGGCGTTCCTGGGAGGATTACTCGATACCGGGGAACTTGCCGACCCAGAGAAATGGTCACATACAAAAGAAGAGACGACCTTTTAGTCCTGAACACGTTCTCCTACACACCACCCAACGTGATGTGCCCTGAATCAGAAATGATGATATGCGCTTTGTCTTTGTCACTAGGCGCGAAAGCAGATGGAACATAGATAAACGTGATGATGAATATAAGCAAACACGGAAGAATCAGCGTAGAATATACCTTATTTTGATATCCTTCGGTGCCAACCTTTTCACTTCACTTAGGAAGCGGTCTCCGAAGCCCTGTGAAAAGGAGGAAAATTTGAGCGCCACCTCCATCGAAACGACAAGTCAAAAAATCCAACAAAGTGATTGAGAACAAAATTCCCATCACATGCGGACCATCAGTACTGCGACCCACGCGTCCACACTGCATTTCGGAAAATATCGCACTGAATTAAATTCCTACGCTTGCCCAGTTGACCTAGGAATTTCAGTATCTGTCAGATATGCTTGTTGAGTGTACCTTGAGCCACGTACTAAAGAGAGGTAACTATTTCAGCGGATACCCCGGTCTTTTGTGTTTATCTCGAGACAAAGCTGCTAAGAATTCACTGCCGTGCTCAGCAGCGGAACGCCGCGGCCATTCTATGATTGGTCAGCCCTCTGGCCAGCTGCGAGTCAGTCTTTGAACACCGTGCTAACGGTGGTGCGACCTTACAAGTGGTGCATTTGCTCGCAGATATCGCTGCCCGCTGCAGACTGAATGGCGGTCAATCAATTTTTTAAATTGCCGTTGAAAGAGAACATGTATCACGGATCTCGGCTCACCCCCACTCAATCTCATGGGCCACTCTGCTCTATTAAACCCAGACAGTGAACCACCCCATGTGTTGCAGTTGTGACCGGTCCCACCACCTAGCTATTGCCATGAAGTCCTTCCCCACCCAGACACAAACGTGTGCTCGCCCGCGCACACTGACCGGGGCGGATCCCACCACGTACCCGGATCAGGGTGGAGCCGCCGGAGAGCACGATGTTCTGGAACAGCACCTTGCGCAGGTCAAGGTCTGACTTCTGGATGGAGTACATGAGCACCTCGTGGATGCCCTCGTACTCCTCGCCGATGAGGTCCGGCCGGAACAGCACCTCGGGCGCACGGAACCGCGCCGCGCCGATCTGAAACCAGCCCCGGGGGCGCTGAGGTGCCGGCAAACCCGGGCTGGTGGAGCGCACCCGCGCCAGGCGACCTGGTACTGATGCAACAACCAGGACAATGAACTCATTTCGTTCAATCGCTGATCATTCGACCGGATTAGCTTCATGTTTCCGTCAGGTTTGTATGGTGGCATGTCCGAATGAACATTTTCTCAACAAATTGGTAACTGGAACAAAACTAACTGAAGAAATGTCCCACAAATATGCCAATCTCGACCACTGATCACGGGATTAGCGTTCGCCACTGGCTGTATCAACAGCCCCGCCAGACTGGGGCTGCCGCCACCGCCGCCCGGCTCGGGATGAGCAGCTCGGCCGTGCTCTGCGCGTGCTCACCTCCAGCGCACTACCGTCGGGCAGGGTGTAGCGCACCCGCTCCGTCTCCTTGGTCTCCTCGCGGCGCGGGTCGGTGGCCACGAAGCAGGCGCGCTCCTTGATGGCCTTGACCACCTCAAACTCGGCCGTCGTGTGGAAGTTGACGCCCTCCTTCCTCAGCAGCAGTCTGGCGGTGCGGCGGTCAGCACGGATCAGGTCAGGTCAGACCGGTCCTCCACGAGGGCACCTGGCCGGGTGCGGCGCCATCGGTTCATCCCAGAGGCGAGAGGCACGCGCACTTCGCGGAACAGGCTATGGGCCGGGTCAGGAGGTGCGCTCAACCGCGGTCGAGTGTTGCCTGTAGTGAGCCGTTCAAATGCCAGCCCTGCACTGACGCCTGGTTAAAAGGTGCTACCTGAACGATTAACGAGCAACCTGCCTGCGAAAATACAGTGGTCATGGCGCCCGGGGGTCAGGTCTGTTCCGTAACTGGCTGGTGTCGTCGGTGGTCACATATATGCTAACACGGTGGTCAGGAGCGGCGGGGCGGTGTTCAGCGACTGGCTGGTGTCGTCGGCGGTCACATCTACGCTAACACAGTGGTCAGGGACGGCCCGGGGGTCGGCTCCGTCCCGTAACTGCCTGGTGTGCTCGGTGGTCACATCTACGCGAACACAGTGGTCAGGAGCGGCCGAAGGGCGGTGTTCCGTAACTGGCTGATGTCCTCGGTGGTCACATCTACGCTAACACAGTGGTCAGGGACGCCCCGGAGGTCAGGTCCGTTCCGTCGCTGGCTGGCGTCGTCGGTGGTCACACCTACGTTAACACAGTGGTCAGGGACGGCTGGGGATCAGGTCCGCTCCGTCACTGGCTGGCGTCGCGGGCGGTCACCTCAGGTATCTGGAGACGTCGCGGCCGGCCACGTCCACCCGCATGATGCTGTGCGGCAGCGCAAAGCCCTCGTAGATGGGCACGGCGTGCGTGACACCGTCGCCGGCGTCCAGCACCACACCCGTGGTGCGGCCTGTGGCGTACCTGCGCACCGCGAGGGAGACACGTTAGCGGCGCGCCGGCCACGCTCGGATGCTGCAGGGAGTGCGGCACACTGAACACAGACGTGGAGCATTAGTGAAAATGTGGTACCCTAAACAGATGTAGTTGTTGTTGAGAGCAAACGATTAAGGATAGTTGAGAACAAACGATTTCGTCTGCGGTATTAATATAGGTGCGCCGAGCAGATAATGTAAACTCACAGACTGAGGACGGCTTGCATGGACACAAATAATGCAGGAACTTGAAGGGTTTCAAAAAATATTTCAGCCGACTTCTCCCTGTTCTTCCTGGGGTTCAGAGGGGCCTCTGTCAGAAGTACTGGGTGCTGCAACAAAACAAAAAGCGTTTAGCATTAGTGACCATCTGAAAACGATGTCTGCACATTCCCGACGAACTCGGATCATCAGAAGAACGTTAACGCGTTTTGGTAACCAGACGACAGCCATCGAAACGTCGCCGACTTATGACTAAGTGATATAATCGGGTTGCTTAACGTCATATCACAGGGGCTGTTTGATCAAATGTATCACTTATGCACAAGGCGTGGACACGTCCCACGTAATACGCTGTTTCAAAGTCGAAGACACACACAAGACACGAAGGCCGGCCAAACTGCTGTCCATCTTTACGTGGTTTGATTGTTCCACAGAATCTTAAGAGTACTAGAAAAGCAAAATATCACTCAATAATTTTCTATCAATGCCCTTTCAATGCATTTCCAAGCATTACATCAACAACGTAAGCATTGCCTGGCGGTTTGCTGCGCCATGCCCTGAAGAGAAGACGCCTGATATCTAGCTGCTGATTCTGGCCCACTTGCCTCCTCTGAAGACGTTTTCAGCTGGTCCTTACTGTAGATGTACTGCCAAATCCTCTCCATGTCGTTCCAGTCGGTCACAATGCCGTGCTCCATGGGGTATCTGGTGAGCGGCCAACGCGGTCAGGCACCTCCTCCGGCGACGAAGGCACCACATGACGGGAGTGCGAGCCACCCCACTCTTCTCCCAGCACAGGAGATGGACAGACAGAGAGAATGACAAAAACTCTTCTCCCAGCACAGGAGACAGACAGAGAGGACCTCCTGTAGCGGTATTCGTATGAGAATCATAGAATTGTCCCCCAGACTGCAAAAGTTGTCGTCTGCCAATGCCGACCACAGAAACAGACTGATCTGATCACAGGAGGTGCCCAAATGCGGGATTCCACTGGTTAGGCAAAGGGGGAGACAAGGGGCATACTGTGGCTGCTGCCATCAATGCCATCATACAGACATGTGTGTGATGGTCAAAAGAGAATCTCACCTGATGCTAAGCAGTCCTCGGTGCTCTTCTGCCTTGGGGCCGACAAAAATGTCACCCTCCAGGGCTCCGGCCATCACTCGGACATGCTTCGGTCTGCCCACGCTGAAAATGTGAGGCGTCATTTGAGGTGCAGAGATAAAAGCCTAAAGTAGAAGATTAGAGGATCTTACTCCCCACTGACTATTTGTAAGAATTTCTTCTCAAGCATACCAAGAAGGGCAGGTGGAATAATTACAACATTTGCATGTCAGACAAGTCAGAGCAGCTTGAATGTACCACCTATGTTAAGAGGAGATGAGTGCACATTTTTATACACTGGACTACCCAAATGCATTCTCTATACACAGGACTACCCAAATGAACATGTCACCTGATAACTACTTCCCAAAGCCGATGATGCCATGTGATTGTGTTCTAACCTTTACCTGGGACATAAATATCAACAACACTTGCATGCTAGGGAGAGGAGTCACTTAATACAGGGATTCACACTCACTAATTTGGGAAGTGGCATTTTGGTGTCTGGTCTCCAGCAAATCCTGCCTTGATCACTCCAGAACCCTGGAACACAGAATATCTCATTGTAAGACCATGCATGAATTGACTTGATCTCTGTTATGCAATGCAACAGTGCAAGAATACAGCGTGGCTGTCATTTATGTAAGCCCAATTTAAGCAGTTATTAAGTGAATCTTCAAAACTTCTGTTCACATTCCTGCTCATAGAAATGGTAATAAGGTTGCCTTACCTCTCACTCTTGCATTCAGCCAATGGAAGCCAGTGCTTCTGATAACTCACATAAGTGATGATAGTTTGAAATCAAGTTATCAGGGCCATGATGATGCTTGATAATGACAGTAACAGCCTGTCACTGCAAATTGCCAGCACAGATATAGTGCTATCAAAGCATTGATACTCACATTGTCAATAACAACAGGCTGGTTGAAGATGACATCAAAGGCATCCATTGCCACAGCCTGGATCAGTCCTGTTGACAAATGAGACTGATGTCCTGGTCAAAACAGAATAACCAACTGATGGTCATGTGGTTCTCTGTGAGAGGAAGTATAGCAGTCGGGATAAGGAAGTTAGATACCAACAATGATTATACTAGGCAAATTTGTTCAAAGATAAATCTGCAACAAGAAAGCAATACTATATAGATATCAAGACAAAATGATGGTAACTGTTCCCATCTTTCCCAAAAGCTCCATAATTGACCAAACCTTGGGGGAAGCAGGGGACATAAAGGCTTTCCAAGACATTTGTTTATACGTGGTGTCAAACATATAATGTCAATCATAGGAAGGTTATTGCATTGGCCCTTTGCCTCTGGTAGCAGGACTCATGGTTTCCACTGTGACACAGCTTTAAAATGCCAGAGTTCTGGGACAACATTGTAAAGCTTATGTAATTGGGAAGTGTAAAAAATAGAATGCAAATAGCAGCAAAAATCTAACCATGTTAATGTGATACACTGAATGTTTATTTCAAAATAACAGGCATGGAAAGATGACACATATGGGCCATACATCAATAGCTCACACAACACTTTGTTCCAGCCCAGAGATTTCACATCATATCCTGATGATTCTGAAAACTTTGAGCTTGGCGCACACCCTGAGGAAGGTGAGTATGTAGCAATGGCACTACCATCACAGCAAAGTTTTGATCCAGTGCACTACAGTCAAAGGCATGTTACGTTGTAAATTATTTATGATATTTGGCATTCACTGGCAATCAAAAACTGTCTTGAAGCTGTTGATAAATAATGTGTTACATTGTATGGAAGGGGGGTATGATGAATCATAACTGAATTATAACAGCAAGATGTTGGACACAGGAGCACCATGCACAGGTGCTGCAAATCATTCAATGCCAAACAGGGTTTTTGCAGCATGTGCGGGGGCCTTGTGGCCAGAGCACCCAGTACACAAACAGGGGAGGAGAAACAACTTGTCAAAAATGGTCATCATATCCGTAGGTGGACATTACACGGAAGCAAAATATTACGTTAATTCTAAGAAAACATTAAGAAACATTTGTACTTCCAACCCCTCCAACTGGTTGATATTTCTTGCCACAAAGGTGGGTTTGCATGGAACAGTTGTGCAAAGAACACATGTGTAGGACATCAGGTAACAAAAACCATAAGCTAATGCTGCAACCAACCCGACTTTCAGTCTCCAACTTCGCCGGCCCGTGACTTTCTTGACAACACCCCACCCAAATCCGTGAGTCACGGACAGATGCGTTCTACGTATATGACGAGTCTGCGACATTCACGAAAGTTGAGGCCACTAAAATCCAAATGGATTACTCCCGAATCACGTGGATTTCGGAATCCGACGCTCTGGAAAATAAACACTTGTTATTCTCGGTGCCTAGGCAGTTTGAGAGAGAGCCTGTTAAAATGTGTCATAAGTGCTTGAAGACTGAGTGTCCACAGAGAGTAAGCAACGTACAATATATGACAGAGTGTGAGCTCAAAGTGAAAAAATGTGTAGCAGCCAATGACTTCAGTAAACTCTTAATGCGAGACATAGGAAAAATGTATGCCAAAGGCCCGTGCTTTAAGGCAGAAAAAAGTGAGAATCAATATTTTTCTTGCTTTTTTGGGATGACCATGCAACCCCTCAGCCATAATGTTGAAGTTTACAAATGTTGAGTACTTGGTTCCCACAATATGACATGGGTGCAGAGATTGAGTGCACATGTAAATGAGAATGTAGTGACCTACTCGTTACTCCTGAATTTGACTTGCAATCTCTTTGCCATGCTACATGATATCACCAGGTCTCGGCATAATCAAAGTTTTGTTTAGGAGGGACCAAGTAAGGGCATAGGGTCCCTTTCCAGCTAAAGCAGCAATGTTTATTGCTGTAGAGGGCTGCTTTTACACTGCATGATCTACAGCAGTTGATGCACCCCTAAAACCCCAGTGCTGCTTTTACATTTAAGAGACTTGTTTGGGCTTAGAGTCCTGTTGTTTTGCCGTGAAAGCCTGTTGATGATGTTGAGAAGCCCTTTGAGCACCTTAAATGACAAAAAAAAATCTGGAGCATTTCTCTCCAGTGAGCACCTTAAATGACAAAACAAAATCTGGAGCATTTGTCTCCAGTGAGCACCCCTTACCTCCAAGGGTATGATATGACCTCAAAAATCCCTCTTGGATATTCTGCTGGCCAAAGAAGGTGCAGCAGTGACACAGGAATATACATAATGGTCTCCAACATCAAGAAGTTCATCATTTACATTTTGATACCCAGCTGCAGACATTGTTGAGCCAATGCGGGCCCAGTACGTGAGGTCACCTATTCTATTAGCCTAACCAGGGCTGCTAGCACCATGCCCGCCCATTTTATCAACTGACAATATACTGGCCCTGATGCTGTCCCATTACAGGTCACTAGCATCAGCCCAGCATGGGAACCTATGCTATGATGTAGACAATTAGTGATGAATGCATTCTAATGTGCCCAAGGTGTCCTGCCTGCTTAGTTCAAGTGTCAATGAGGCCCTAATTTTATTTTCATCTGGCTGGTGTTTAATGGCTGGTACGGTCATTTCAGGATCGCATCGTTCTGGAAAGTGGTACTTTCATGCTGAACCTGCTCTGTTGCTCTGAGTGTGGGGTCCGGAACGTCAAGAACACGGAGAAGCACGAGGAAGAGGATGAGGAGGGTACCGAGATCGTCACGTTTTCACGTATGGGACACTCGTGCCCTTTGGAGTGACGTATTTTGCAATGGATACAGGCCTGCTCCATTGGTGCAATGGCCCACCGCGTGCACGAACTGCGCACCTCGTATAGCTTACTTCCATGTTTTTACATAATGAAATACTTCCGGCACGAGCGAGGTTAGACTTTAAACATGTAACAATGTCCGACATGGTCGAATCTCGTTCAGACACGTTTAACACGTGTCTGGGCGACCGGTTGAATATCTTTTGGTCGGGCTGAGGGTCAATTTGACCCCCTGAAATCCTAGAAACTAAGAGAGCTAGAGAAGCTAAATTCACAGGGTGTGTTGACCTGTACGTGAGCCTAGTTGTGTCAAAATTTAAGGTCCCTAGGTCGTGGCTCTCAGGTCAAACAATGTCAAACAAGGTAAAACTCCGGATTCGCGTCAAAAGTGTCCCCAGACCTTATACAACCTCCGTGAACATAGATACCTGTTCTAAGCAAATGTTCACTGGTACTCATTGAAGGTCAGTTACCTTGTTTGAATCCGTGGAAGGCTCTGGTCACCAAAATCATACAAACCTGCTCTGATTTTGCCATTTAAGTAGGCATCAACAATTACACTAGGTGTATGTTCCCGAAAACGAAATGGTGACCTGGGTCATTTTAGGTCCGTGGCCTGATGGTCTGACCATTAAAAGTCCGTAGAAGACATATGGGGGTTTCTCTAATTAGTAAAATCAAAATAAGCATAAAAAACTACCCCATACCTCACGTAAAAATGATCACTTTTGACCCTGATCTGGCCTTCATACCTAACCCTAGGCCAATTATTTTTGTATTCCATTTTGCGTCATATTGAAAGACTCCCCACAAATCGCCGTCGCTGAAACCATGACCTGACTAACCGTCCATAGGTCAGCGACCTTGTGAGGTACGTCTGAATTTACTATACCAAAAGATCCGCCATGCAGCTGACTACAGCTATACAAAATTAGCCTAGCCGCGCCGTTTGGAATGATTCTGGATCAGCGTTCTGGGGGGGGGGGGGGGGGTTAAATTGACCCCTACCCGAACGCGAAATAATCATCTGAAAGGATGGGACTTCAGTCCCCAAAAATTAACCGTTTGATACGGACGGACCAAGTGCGTGGGCATCTGCAACGACACGGCCCACGTTCTCAGGCAAGTGCAGTCACGGGATACGGATGACTCCCATCGACAACACGTGGAGCAGTCAGCAGTCAGGCGCGGCTCGTTCCCCGCTTTCAGACTCAGGCGATTATTTGGCACTGGTGAGCCCCGTTCACAGACGGGCGTATACATGTGGTACGGACCAATCCCGTTCTCAGGCACGTGTCGCGATGCCAAATGAATGGCTGCTGCCTTCAGAAACGTGTAACCACCTGACGCGGACGTCTGTTGCCTACCTGACGCGGACTTTTGTTGCCCACAGACACGTGTAACCGGCTAATAAGGACGTCTGTTGCCTACAGACACGTGTAACTACCAAGCAAAGACGTCTGTTGCCTAGAAACGTGTAACCACCTGACGCGGACGTTTGTTGCCCACAGACGCGTGTGACCGCCTAACATGGCGTCTGTTGCCCACGGACGCATGTAAGTCAACAGACGTCCACCTGACGCGGACGTCTGTTGCCTGCCTGACGCGAACGTTTTTTGCCCACGGACACACGTAACCGCCTAACGTGGACGTCTGCTGCCTACAGACATGTGTAACCGCCTAGCGAGGACGTCTACTGCCTACAGACTCGTGTAACCGCCTAACGCGAGCGTGTGTTGCCACAGACACGTGTAACCGCCTAACGTGGACGTCTGTTGCCCGCAGACACGTGTTCAGCCTGTCGTCACCTGATCGCGGTGCACCGCCACACGTTCAGTGTGGAAGAGGGCTACCAGGAGTACGCCATGGAGTGCAGTCTCTGCGGCACCGGCCAGGACTCGCACAGCGTCCTGCCGGACGATCCCCGACACAGCCTGCAGACGGAGCTGCTGTAGCCGACGACGAACCGCTGGTGTGGTGAAGTTGCTGCAGCGGGTGTAGCGGACGCTTGTGTAGCGGGCGCTGGTTCAGCGGGTGTTGGTGCAGCGGCCCACCCGGAATGCCGATGATTAAACGCGTTTGTATTGATATCATGTGATGTGGAGTGAGACAGAGTGGACAGCCTGGACATGCGTGGACTGGCCTGGCCTGACCAGGCCTGGACAGCGCGGTTGGCTGGGATGGGGTGTTTCTGTCAGTGTGTGTGGTGCATGTTGACAGAGGTGAACAGAATGCGCCATGGCAGGTGGTGCGCAGCACGCTCTGGGGCCGTGACGTGAAGCACGCTCATGCTGCGAATTGTGAACCGATGGTGCCGGTTATGAGCGCCTGATCTTCCGTCGAAAAACGGTGCGTGGCTTTGTTCAGGAGCTTAGGATTGACCAGTGCTTGCGTCGCGAACGCTGCTTCCCCAACATTTACATTCAAGAAGCATGTACGTGCTCGGAGACTGTGTATGCCTTGACGTCCCGCTCGCGCGCTAATGTGGAGTCAGGTCCCGAAACGCTTCTCCTCGCGTTCAGAGGGCATGCGTAACAAGCACTCCTGACCTGACCTGACCATCTATGAACCGTTTTGCTTCCGTAAGAAAAAAACTGGAAAGGTCCGTGTCGAACCACTCGTTTTGGTCTGTGGGCGGATGGTACCCAGCGTACAATGCAGACGTCGGGCACTGTTCGCTTCTCGGTTAAAAGCGGTAGCCCGCATGAGCCAGTATGCGCCCGCATCGGAATTCCGTTGAAACGTGCAGGACGCGTGTGCTTCCTATTACAAACACTCAGATGCCGCTCCCGGTGTTTATATCGGGCACCAATGTTGAACATGAAGCATGGGCACACATGGTTCGTTTTACGTTTGAACCCTCGCGCAATGCAGCATGGAGGCCCGCTCTCCCTGGGATCGTCCCCGAATTACTTCAAACGGTTTCGAGCAAGGGGGTAAGATTTTGGGGAGCTGAGTTTGCATCATTCGTGCAAGTCTTGTGCAAACTTTGTGCTTTTTTATCTTGACGACCCATGATCTATGACATCTTCCTCGCGGTCATCTCGGCCACATTTTGCTCAAAAGTGACTAATAATTTTAACATATCGCATGAAATGCTTTGTGGCCTTTGTAACCAGATTTTATCTTCTGCAATCCATACGGTTTTACCTTCATGACACAACCTTACAGCCTTTCCAACGTTGTTTTCCCCGTAGATGAGGTGTGATTTCTTCAGGCGGGTGGGTCACTGCCGTGTCAGCCTTGAAATATTGGCCTAAAATGAAGACCACAGGTCACGCCCGCCAGTGTCCACTAGTGCCCATCTGATACTTCTCCCAGAGCCGCGTAATGCCGTTTTCCGCATTGTGTTGGCATTCTGCGTTCTTTGGAAGACAGGGAGGGTCTATGAAGAGCTGTTGGGTGCTGGACCGTGTTGCGCCGTGCGTCTGTATGGCGGCGGCTAGGTCTGGGCACGGGACCAGGGTCTCCATGATGACTGCATCATCTTTACAGCAGG